GTTTACGCAAGACATTAACTTTATTCATTACTGATTATTACTAAATATGGTCATTTCATTTGTTTGGTGCTTTAACTAAAGTTTCGAAATTCATTATCATATTGAAATTCTAGATTTTCTTATGTTGTCAGCGTACATAAGTTTTGCTCGGATTAAAATCTACTATCTACTTTTTAGCGCATTTATTTAAATATTCCAGGTCTTGGCTCAATGACAATGACAAGATGAGGAAATGGTTATAAGTGAGGTATCGTCGGCAAAAAGACGTTGAATACAAAACATCACAAATATCATTAATGAAAATAAGAAAAAGAAGCGGTCCAAGAATAGACCCTTGGAGAACACCGACTTTTATCCCACCAGTATCAGAAAATGAGTTTGAAATAATACCTTCTGTAATTTTTCAACCTGATTAATAATTCTCTTGATATGCCATATAATTTTAGTTTAATTAATAACCCCTTATGCCAAACGCAATCAAAGGCCTTGGAAATGTCACAAAATATCAAGCATGCATTATTTTCAATAGCTAAACTAATACTATGATTTATGTAAATTAATCGATAAACAGTAGAGTGGTTTGGCGTGAAACCAGACAGGTAATTATAAAACAAATACTTTTGCATGAGATAATGATGAATATGTTTGCATATTGATCTTTCTAAAGCTTTACCTATTGCAAATAATAATAAAATTAGTAGGTAAATACAATGAGGGTCTGTCACCTTTTTTAAAATAATGGTATTACTGTGGCTAATTTCTAGATGGATGACACACCATCGTGACAAAATCCTTATATGAATCTGTAAAAAGTTCGCAGGCATCATCAACTGATTTATTTCCTCCCTGTGTATTTTCTCAGTCGTATTCAGAAATAAGATGATTGAATCTATCGAAATCTGCATCTTAATATATCCTATATTTACGTGTATACGGTCATCTGTTACGTCACAATAGGCTAATCAATTAACCACAATATTATATGTTTATTTGTAACAGGAAACATATCCATATATATAATAAACAATTGAATGTCAATAGGAAATCCAATACATGTTCATAATTAATACAAGACCAATGATCATATCAATTATCTCCATAATTAAAGGCACATTATCTCCACAATTAAAGGCACATTATCTCCACAATTAAAGGCACATTGTCTCCACAGTTAAAGGCACATTGTCTTCACAATTAAAGGCACATTGTCTCCACAATTAAAGGCACATTATCTCCACAATTAAATGCACATTATCTCCACAATTAAAGGTACATTATCTCCACAATTAAAGGTACATTGTCTCCACAATTAAAGGCACAATGTCTCCATGATTTAAGGCTAATTGACTCCATGATTAAATACACCTTTTCGCCATATTTAACGAAACATTGTCACCAAATTCAAAGGCACATTATTGCCATAATTAAAGGCACATTGTCTCCATAATTAAAGGCACATCATTGCCACAATTAAAGGTACATTGTCTCCATAAATAATGGTACATTGATTCTGTAATTAAAGGCACATTGACTCCATAAATAACGGTACATTGATTCTGTAATTAAAAGTACATTGTCTCCATAAATAACGGTACATTGATTCTGTAATTAAAGGCACATTGACTCCATAAATAACGGTACATTGATTCTGTAATTAAAGGCACATTGACTCCATAAATAACGGTACATTGATTCTGTAATTAAAGGTACATTGACTCCATAAATAACGGTACATTGATTCTGTAATTAAAGGCACATTGACTCCATAAATAACGGTACATTGATTCTGTAATTAAAGGCACATTGACTCCATAAATAACGGTACATTGATTCTGTAATTAAAGGCACATTGACTTCATAATGAAAGACACATTGTCTCCAGGATTAAATCCAAATTGTCTCCGTAATGAAAAAAATTGTCTTCATAATCACATAATTAAAGACACATTGTCTACGTGATTAAAGGCACATTGTCTCTATGATTAAAGACACATATTACATGTTTCTTAGACCTACACAATTCTACCAGGGGCCGGTAATGAGTTTGTTTAGATCGTTAATGACCAGGAATTCAAATCTGTAATTAATTGACAACTGAACATGAGAAGAAAATGGAGTTGCGTTGAAGTTAGAAAGATAGGACTTTAAAAAAAGTGAGCGGGCCATCTTGAGAATGAATTTACCTTCCTAGGAAATGCTTTGCAGCTTTGGCAATTTTAATATCGTCACTTAATAAGATATCAACATCCCCATCACAAATAATATTGATATAGATATTTCCATCATATCCTGATAATTCTGTGTTTAGTGTTTTTCATCAATTAGCATATACATTTGTATAGGGGGGGGGGAGTAACAGTCATCACGGAGATGCCCTCAATGATACACGGCAGAAGCGATGATATGACAAAGATATCCACGGACACATGTCACCAGAACATCATTCGATAATGCGTATCTTAAAAAATAACACGTGTTGATGTCTTTAGTTAAGGGACCTTGGGTTATATGTATATATATGCACTGTACGTGGGATATTGATATGTAAACAAACAGGATAAAAATAATCGAATATGCACGTGACTTTCAAAAACCTCCAATAATATCAACACTACTTATTTTCTATTTTATAAAATCGGTTTTTTTTTCTCATTTTTAAAAAAATATTTAAATATATAACTTGTTTGGTACACGCACGCGCGATTTGAGATTGATTTCCAATTATAGTATTAGTTTGGACAATTCGAATCATAAAGAGGAAATGACAACGATTTCATCAGTAATAGGATTGATTTTGCCCTTCTGAAAGTCTTTATTTTATGTTGAGTGTGTAGATCTACTAGAAATGTGTTTGTCCTGAAGCTTTGGTCCATAAGTTTGTTGGTCATGAAATTCATTATTCCAGGGGAGGTAATTGACACTGTACGATGATTCTACGTCTTCACTACCTACACTGACATTTTGCAGTCAGTCATTATTATTGTAGTCTGCGAGTGTGCATAAAAAGACGAAACATCAAGCCCTACACACCCTCTAAAATTCTTAGAACGTCTTTGTAGAGAATCGTGAGAATTGCTGCGAATTGTGTTCGAGAAAAATCTGTTGAGATAAAATCGAGAAATGGACTTGATGATAAACGAGGCACTCTTTGTAATAAATGAGAACCCGGAAGTGGTACAATTTGATAGTGTAATACGTGTAACTCTTCTGTACAGAGGCGCTTAAGTATACACACAAGAAAAAAACGAATATTGCAAATGGCCGTACTCATAGATATTCGGATTTTCCCAAACGAGGAGTGGTTTTCCTGTTTTTTGTTTTTATTTTATTCGAAATAGAAGATTATCAATCAGGCTCCTATACCGAATGTTGATCTGAATTCTTACATGCTTTTTTATATTTCTAGTCCGAGCATGTTGATCTCCATTAGGTACTTCCCTTCGTTCCTCTGTTTCAGTTTAGCATATATAGCATGTCAGCATGGTTAAGTAACAATGGCGACCGAGGGGGTCCGAGAATTGAGTCCGAACGGTTTCATTAATTTCATACACAAACAGTAATCTTTGAAAATTTAGTCAACAGGTATTCTTCTAGGGCTTAAATTAATCTAAAATATTCTAGAAATTTTCTTATCTTATTTTATACCTGAAGTTAAACCATAGAGTCAACAGTTTTAATATCAAATTATCTATGATATAATGTACACACAAATAAAGGTTGTAGACCATATGCAATAGGCTGGTGAGCACCAATAGGCCGTCTCGAGGTCGATAAAATGATACTCTGAATACACATGACACTTGTCTAGACAGTAACTTAATCTTTCTTTAATGCATGATTATATCTCCAGGAGGGTTTTAAAGCATGATACTCATTAATGTAATGAAAAAATGTTAAAAATAGACTGAAGTAAAATTCATTCTGGTATAGTCGCTGAACAATACATATGACAGTAAGTTGAGTAACAGATAATCACTGTTAAATTCATCATATTTGACCATGGTTATTGTTGTTGTATTAAGGTGTACATGTGGGAATTGCTATCCTATGTCCACGATGACAGAATCTGTTTGCTGCAGAGAAATCAACCAAGTTAACGACATAAGGAGAGAGGTCCCAAACGTTAATTGTATCACTAGGGAAAAGACAGCTTAAACACGCTATGATGTCACAAAAACTGCCAAATGACATCACAATTTCAGCCACAAAAATATTTATTATACCAACACTGAAACAAGGTTTTTAGCATCATGAGTGTGGGAGAAAAAAAATAAATCGTGGGGTTGTAAAGTGAACAAAAAATCTCAACCCACGGGTGGAGATTTTTCTGTCTACGTTACACTCCGATGATGGAATCATATGATAATAGTACAAAACAAATCACAGATTTTCTAGTAACATGTATGGACAGATTTACTTTACATTTGCAAGTGCGTGTGGCCTCTGTTTGCCCATTGCAGGCCCCCAAGGGGCCATTGCTGGCCCATTTTTTCCATATCGGAAAACAAAACATGATCGCAATAGGACAACAAGAGATTTCAGCTGACAGGTGAACTAAAAACAATTACCTGAACCAATTGCACATCGACTACTCTGGATTCATCTAAATCCATCATTTTGTGTAGCTGCAATACTTTGCACAGTGGCCTGGCCTGAGGTATCTGCACGTCCATCTCCTCTCAATACAATTTCCGTATTTTCCTGTATCACACTGTCCAAATAGCACTTCTGATGGTCATTCCAAACTTGCTGGCTGAGGAAAATATCTCTGATGTTGCAAAAGTGTATCGCAAGATATTGTGGCGATGTTCAGTTCAAGTTGAACATCCGCAGTGATTTGCTTGGAAGCGACCCAGAAAACAGAATTGCGCATGAAAGCAATAAGTTTCCAGCTGGTATTGACCCGATCATTGGTTGGCTCTTCCAAACATTGGTATAGGAACAAAAAACACAGTCCTGTAGAATTTTCACTGCTGTACCGCTCAGCTGTTAAGCTACTGTCATGCTGAAATTAATTTTAGGAGTTCTGATTTGTTAACCAAAAACATTCTGTCTCTTCCTTCATCCCTGAAAAAAAAAAACAAAAAAAATAAACATTTTACTCTAATTTCTTGGTTTGGGCAGTGTATTTTGTCATAATTTGCCAGGCCAACGAAAGGCACTTGCACTGAGTAATAATTTAGCCTTAGTAATAACACAAGAGATCCAAAAAGTGGTGGTGGTATAAAGAAAGTGATATAGATGAAGATGTACAAGTACCATTATGTGGTAAAATGTTACTAATTATGATCCTTGAATTAAACAACATCAACATACCACAAACCTATTTAACAAGATGTCTAGTGACCTTTAATAATTTAATCATTTAACTTTACAATTGATCATAACAATTAATGAAAACGTCTCCCATGGCTTGATTTGTGTGTAGTATCTCATTTTGTAATCACTATATATTATCTATGAGCAAAAACGATTTGTGACAGTTTTTTCTAAAGCAAAAAATACACAACAGCATTTTTGTGTAAAAAGTCACCTTTCATCATCTATGTCGCTATCACAGTCAACATCTTCATCTGCTTCACTCTGAAATGACGCATTAAATAAACTGTCAAACAAGTCTTCTTGGGGACTATCGTCATCCTGATCTCCATTGTCCTCTGTGCCGTCATGATCAAAAGTAAGATTGTGGTCCTCGCACATGTTGGTGTTTGACGTTTGTTCTGGTTTCATAATATCACACTGGATGGCCACAGACTTGCATTCATTGGATGTCGTCTGACATACTTGTCAAAAAGTATGCTGTACTCGGTAAGTTATTTGTTAGCTATCCAGTACCATAGAGTGGTTGGGCTCAGTGTCCTATACAGTGATCAGGGTATAGTACACCTGTCCTGTTGAGGTTACCAGAGGTCCCTGGATTGAAATTGCTGAGTCAGAAAGCAAGAGTCACTGAGGCGTAACCAAATCATGCAACACAGGTAAGTGTTACCTGTGTGTGCGGTCATTTCAACCCCGGACTTGAACCAGAAAGGTTCTCAAATGTTATAGGCTGGGTGCCACGGGGTTGGATGCATTTTATGTAATGCTACCAGGACTGGGTGTCCGAGAGGCTGTGTGCCATATTTCTGAGAACCAGCACTGTGTGTCGGAGAGGCTGTGTGCCATGTTTCTGAGAACCAGGACTGTGTGTCCGAGAGGCAGTGTGCCATATTTCTAAAAACCAAGACTGTGTGTCCAGGGTGTTCGGGATGAAGCTACCTAGGAGTTGATGTACCTCTATATGTGACCCTAAATATACTGAGGCCTTCCTCTGGAGTTTGTGACCAGAATCAGGACCTTGATGAAATTGCTATAACCAAAGGAACCCGATCATGACACTACCTTGACTGATGTGGTCTACGGAGGGTCACCGCGTATCTTGCATAACATCGTGGCGCTAAGAGAGTGAAGAACTGTGTGGTACCACCTAGAGAGACGGGAACTTTGGGCAGACAGTGAACTATATATGTAGAGACTTGGTTCAGAAAAATGGGTTCTGTGTGTTTAATCAAATATACGTAGTTGTATTGAATGAATGTGAGAGTGGATGGGTGCTAAGTGGGTTGAATATATATTTGCTATAATTTTGTATATATAAATTCCAAGTGAATACATTTGTTGAATGTATTATTTATCGTTGTTTTATCTATTTGCTACCAATTAAGCTGAGCCTATATACCCACAATTCTTGACAATACTACAATAAAGAAAAATGATGTGTAACAAACTAAGAGAATGAGAACACTTTTTTTCTGAGCTCTGAATACGTTAACTTTCTCCTATTCATCACCTTTACAGCAACGTTACATTGGGCTGCACCTGTTCCTTTGGAGTAGAGAGAAGTAGTAAAGCGTAACTATTTGACAATCCGCCATCCATAATGCAGATGCCAGAATTCAAAAAAAGGTTGTGAAGAAAAGGTTGTACCAGTTTACATAAGCACCGGAAACAAGGTCATAATACTAACAGCAGGATTCAAGATGGGTGAAATTTCCGGAAGTGTGTATTACTAACGAAACTCGGAAGCGTACTGGAAAACAAATTCATTAAAAATTGCAAAACAATGTAGGGGGTGGGGGTGGGGGGGGTGACTCCATCAAACACCCTACACAAACCATTTGTTTTGTGAACAAGATATTATAATTGCAATTTTAACTCAGAAGATTGAGTGTATATTTATCTTCTTTTTCGCAAATCAAACAGAACTCTCTTCATTACAATATGATGAACTGTTAATACATCTGCATAAATTTACCTACACCCAATATCAATTTCTGATGCATAATTTTGATTAATCACTGTACTTTGGTTATGAGTTTTAAAACTTGTTTGTATTTTCTTTGACCTTCTTGCTGGCTTCTTCAAACCTACTTGGCAACCATAGGTTCTTGTTAAAGCTGTTGTTGATCCTGATGGTGTCTAAAAAAGTTAAAATATACAAACTTCAATAAAACATCCCTTCTGCCCCATGCCTCTCTAATCTATATCAGACTCCGTAATATCAAGAAAAAAATACTATTTTCTTTTAACTTTTTAAGAAAACAAGCTGATTTTTAATCTAAGTATAAGACTGTGATAATAAAGCACTTTTCAAATACTTCTTTATGAACTCTGATCTGTTATCAATATCAAAATATATCCAACAAAGTTGAATCTGGTTTTAACTTCTACGGAATGGATGCTAAAAACTAGGACATAGTTACAAACTCCATTAATACCATTTAGATTCTATGTGCTAAAATAAATTGTCAGATGTTTCCTTTCCATGAACTAATTGCACTTTGAATTGTTTATCCTCAAATTCTTACATGTGGTGTTGAGTTGTCACTCTCCATACCGCACACCATGGTATTATTGGAACCGTAGTCAACATCTTGGTCAATCTCCATCAGTTCTGTTGCTTGGAAATGCTGTGACAGTATCTGGAGGGGAAAACAAATGATCCAAATCAAAATAATAAAGACTTTTAAAATTTCATATCATAATTTAAATTTGAGACAAATAGGTGTGACTGGTATATACTAGCTACATTGTACACTCTACTGGTATAATACCTTCACTCTAAATGTACATGTTGTATATTTGATTCTCTTCCCAGTATAGAAAGTTGGGGCACCATTATACATATGTGTAATATAGACCAATGAAACATTGACTAGAATTCTAGTTGTCTGAATTTTTAACAAAATTACGAAAATATCAATACGCACGTTATTACTAAATTGTACATACCCTAGCATTTTCTCTCTTAGTAAAAGCCATTCTTTGTTTCTTTGGCGTCTCTGTAATATTAGACATCGGGTTTGGTTCTGAAGCGTGTATAGATAGAACAGCATCTGGAAGCAGGTCCTTTCTTCGGACTGACTGGCCTAAACTTTCCATGATCTTGTACTTCGCCGGGTAACAGGACTCGTCGGAATGTTTCGAACAAATTACTGAATGTTTGGTGGCTCCGGCCCAGTTCTTCCTTTTCGATGTTACAAATGAATTCCACTTTCTACAAACATCATTATTCTTCAATGGAAAGAAATGAAGGTAAACTCCATCTTTGTTGGTGTTGCTGCAACCGAAAACAACACATCTTTTCCCTAAACGTCCGGCAATCGGCGACGGGTCACCCATGGTCACAACAATTGACAGAAAAATCCACGAATGCTCACAAATATTTGAAATCTAAGTAAAACATTCCATAGATGCTGACACTACTGTTACTTTACCATCAATTATAGTATAAATTAGTCGAATAACATTCAAGTAGATCCAAAAAACGAAACGATATAACCTGGCTTCTGCTAGAAAACTAATGGCTGCCGGAGTGGCACAGAACGGGCGCTCACACCAGTGACGTCACTACTGAAGAGCTCTGTTACAGTGCCGTTCGATGATCTCGTTCAGGTGTGTTTTTAGCTTTTTCGACAATAACTTTGGAACGCGTGGATCGTTTTCGACGATTTTTGCGATAAATGAACGAGCAAAGGCTATTTGATTTAATGACACATATTTGACAAAGCATTCAGGTTCCTCTTTAAAGATTTTCGTGTTATTCATGATCAATCCGAAATTATTTTTAAACAGAGATACCAAAAAACATAGGAAAAGACATATGAATTTATTTCTGAAATGAGTAACAATTTATAGGCATAACTGGCCTGCACCTGTTCCTTTGGAGCAGAGAGTAGTAGTAAAGTGTAACTATTTGACAATCCACCATCCATAATGCAGATGCCAGAATTCAAAAAAAGGTTGTACCAGTTTACATAAGCACCGGAAACAAGGTCATAATACTAACATCAGGATTTAAGATGGGTGAAATTTCCGGAAGTGTGTATTACTAACGAAACTCGGAAGCGTACTGGAAAACAAATTCATTAAAAATTGCAAAAAACTGTAGGGGGGGGGGGATGTGATATGACAATGCATTCAGGTTCCTCTTTAAAGATTTTCGTGTTATTCATGATCAATCCGAAATTATTTTTAAACAGAGATACCAAAAAACATAGGAAAAGACATATGAATTTATTTCTTAAATGAGTAACAACTTATAGGCATAATTGATGGTAGAATGTTTACCGATCGATCGGGCGATGACACGAAGACAAGAATCATAACCAAGATTTATTCCCAATAAACATTAAAGTAAAAGATTTGGATATTTGTCAAGTGATCACAATCCGAAAATAGGAAATGACGTGTTTTATGTCAAGCAGATTTGTATGTAAAGACAGGAAATGATTAGACCATGAATCAGTATATATTTTTAAATATAAACAGGTACCTGAATGTTGTACACCTATAATGCCTCGCTTGCATTATTGTAATTTGTTCTTTATATAGTTATAGGGGGGGGGGGCGGGGATTCAACGTAAATATTACAAATAATTGTGTGTAAATTGTAATGAAAAATATCAAACCGGTAACGGTACAAATATGTATTGAAAATAACACCTTTTGGTTACTTTAATTGTGACAAAATAATATTTGACGTTTTTTTTTTCTTTTATGTCAGATTAGGACGTATCGCACCTTTTGACAAACTTGTGGTTTTCTGTTTATATATATATATTTGTTTTTGTCATTCATTAGGAATTTTTTCATACTTTGTCATTTGATTTTAATCTAATTCTCATTAACTGCGTTCTGATGTAATGGATATTTTTGGCCCTGTGTCTCTGTGGTGATATCACGGATATTTTTGACCCTGCGTCTCTATGGTGATATAATGGATATTTTTGGCCCTTTGTCTCTATGGTGATATAATGGATATTTTTAACCCTGCGTCTCTATGGTGATATAATGGATATTTTTAACCCTGCGTCTCTGTGGTGATATAATGGATATTTTTAACCCTTCGTCTCTATGGTGATATAATGGATATTTTTAACCCTGCGTCTCTGTGGTGATATAATGGATATTTTTAACCCTTCGTCTCTATGGTGATATAATGGATATTTTTAACCCTGCGTCTCTATGGTGATATAATGGATATTTTTAACCCTGCGTCTCTGTGGTGATATAATGGATATTTTTAACCCTTCGTCTCTATGGTGATATAATGGATATTTTTAACCCTGCGTCTCTATGGTGATATAATGGATATTTTTAACCCTGCGTCTCTGTGGTGATATCACGGATATTTTTGGCCCTGTGTCACTGTGTTGATATAATGGATATTTTTGGCCCTGTGTCTCTATGGTGATATAATGGATATTTTGACCCTGTGTCTCTATGGTGATATAATGGATATTTTTTGCCCTGTGTCTCTGTGGTGATATAATGGATATTTTTAACCCTTCGTCTCTATGGTGATATAATGGATATTTTTAACCCTTCGTCTCTATGGTGATATAATGGATATTTTTAACCCTGCGTCTCTGTGGTGATATCACGGATATTTTTGGCCCTGTGTCACTGTGGTGATATAATGGATATTTTTGGCCCTGTGTCTCTGTGGTGATATCACGGATATTTTTGGCCCTGTGTCACTGTGGTGATATAATGGATATTTTTAACCCTGCGTCTCTGTGGTGATATCACGGATATTTTTGGCCCTGTGTCACTGTGGTGATATAATGGATATTTTTAACCCTGTGTCTCTGTGGTGATATAATGGATATTTTTGGCCCTGTGTCTCTGTGGTGATATAATGGATATTTTTAACCCTGTGTCTCTGTGGTGATATAATGGATATTTTTGACCCTGCGTCTCTATTGTGATATCACGGATATTTTTGGCCCTGTGTCTCTGTGGTGATATAATGGATATTTTTGACCCTTCGTCTCTATGGTGATATCATGGATATTTTTGGCCCTGTGTCACTGTGGTGATATAATGGATATTTTTGGCCCTGTGTCTCTGTGGTGATATAATGGATATTTTTGGCCCTGTGTCACTGTGGTGATATAATAAATATTTTAACCCTGCGTCTCTATGGTGATATAATGGATATTTTTAACCCTGTGTCTCTGTGGTGATATAATGGATATTTTGACCCTGCTTCTCTGTGGCTAAACAATGATATCAGAAGGTAATGGTGCATTATTAGTCTTATATAAATTTAGAAAACACGATTTCAGAATTCCTCTTCAAGCCCCAAGTATTCAGAAATGGCTTCGAAAGATATATGTTTTACAAGTAATATGACATAGACTCCCACTTAGCAACCATCTGTACTCCGTCCTACTATCGAATTTTGTATAGTAGTTCAATTATCATTATGTCTGACTTAATTTGTACCTCGTGCGATTCAGGAAGTCCTTGGAGTGAAAGACATTTTCAACCCTCGGGTGGCAACAGATGTCAACCTAGGACGAAATGACCTAAAGGTGTTCGAGATGACCTGACTTTACAGCAGGTCAGTGCCAGACCAGATTTGTAAGACAGATGAGTTTCAAGGTTGAATACTCCGGATTTGTTGTATCATGTATCTGTAACAAAAATATGTTTTATAAAATCTTGGAGATTGAAGGAGGTGGTTTACACTGTTCTTTGACTTCAGTCTCCGAGGTTTACCGTCACCAGATATGTTTTAAATTCATTCCAATTGTGGCACGGCTCCCTGAAGCAAATTCTATTACAGAGCTATGAGACGAAATCTGTTTATTTATATTAAGAAAAATGTTTCGAAGTGTTGTGATTTAACAGCTAAATCGAGTTCTAAAATGTTGTTTCTGATCTATATGATATTTCAGTATTTACAACAATCGTAATGAAGTAATGACAAGTTAACCCATTTCTTAAATGACGGAATCATCCCAGATGACAACAGAAAACAAAAATAAGAAAGAAATATCTTGAACTACAGGAAGTATTTTTTTTTTGAGAGTGAAGTAGATCTGAGACCGTTTTCAGTTTAGGACGTCTAGTAACTCCCGACACAGCAGGCAATGATAGAACATAGATTGACTACAAAATATCATTGTTTTGACCTTTAAAGTGAATGATTGAAATTTCGGGGAAATATTCTTGGTCTGGGGGTGTGTATGTGTGTGTGTCTGTGTGTATGTCTGTGGATCTGTGTGTCTATTTGTCTATGGTGGTGTGTCTGTGTGATGGTTGTGTTGGTAGTGGCGGTGTATGTGTGTGTGTGTGTGTGCGGTTTGAGGGTATGTGTGAGGGTGTGTGTTCTGTAGTGGTGGTGGTGGTGGTGGTGGGTGGTGTTTGTGTGTGTGTAACAATAGCAGTAAAGCTAAATATCAAAACGTAATTAGCATCTGTCATTCTTGAGATCAAAGTTTCGGTCTTTACGAAATATCTGGTTCATCACGAGCTTACTAACAAACTTTTTGGTTAATTTCGTGGTTTTACATATGTGCATTTTGTTGGGCACGTAATTTTCTTGATAAATCTTGCTCATGACCTCAATTTTTGCTTTAATCGACGTAATTTTCATCTGTTCACATATTTCGTGGATATTAAATTTCGTTGATTAAGTGCACCCACGAAAATAAAAGCGCAGCGAAAACGAATGACATTACAATGCCTCATAGTTTCAACACTATAGACGAGTGTATGACTAATGGATATCATAACGGTCGATTTCACGTGACAAATCTCGCAATCAGAAATATCATTGGAAATAGCCAGCAAAGTGCCGCAATGTCAACATTATCTTAAAATCATTAAAACGACGGCAAGAAAATTATGGACAAACCAGATCCGTGTAAAACGACAAGGATGAGTCAAACAAGATTAAACCGAAATGACGAAATCACCAAGAAGTTTATTATTTATCTATATATTTATCTATATATTTATCTGTCAGTTAATGCTTTATTACACGTGCAATGGATATTTCAAGTTATCATTTTCAGATAATTTTTCGCAATAGTCTTTATGTAAATCTGTTATATTTTCCGTAGGACATCAAATTTGAGTTTTGTTCAAATACTTTCTCTGTTGTATTTATTGACAATACGAAATCTATGAGCCGCCATTTTGTCAAAACTGTTGGGAAAATAGAAAGATAGAAGTTTAACCTCTGGATAGCTCCCCTTAAACAGTATAAGCATGATGTTACTACTTCAACATAGCAGTTACCTCCCTTCGTACGATAAGGATGTTGTCCTACAGCTGTAAACAGGCTTTATTTGCTTTTATTGTACAGGTGCCCCTGTCTAGATTTC